ATGAGGCCACATGACATATCCTCTTCTCTTGTACAACTCGAATAACACTTCATTAAGGGGTCAAACAACACGAATCCCAGTTACTGTACCATGCTGCCCGTTTTCCTGCCTCATCTCCCCCTCCCTCACCTCCCGGGGATGACTACCCCAACTAGGACCCTTAAGGGGTGTGAAAACCAGGCAGGGGAGGGTCATATTCACTTATGTTTTACACAGAGCCAAGTAACTCTTCTAAGGTCATAGAGCAAATTCAGTCTCAGGCTAGACCCAGAAGCAGCCCTGTAATTGCAAACCTGCTGGTCTCCCTGTCCTCGCTCACCGAAGCCTGCCTGCAGCCCAGTAACCAGAGGGCCATCTCCTTTTTGCCGCTTTGCCACAGACCAGAGGCTGATACTAATCACAACTATCAAGGATCTAGGGTCTCACTCAAGCAAGCACCAGCTAAGTGCAAGGCCCGGCATGAGCAGTGGGGGCATCCTGAGATGAACAAGATTTCGGGAAGCTTTGGTGCGAGATATACACAGATAACTCCCCTGCATTTCCCTCCCAGGGTTTGGACCTTCTTGCTCATCTCCGTCCTACCGGACCTGTCCAAACCTTTTATCTGACAGATAAGGAAAACAAAGCTCAGAAAGTCTTGACCGACACAGCTAATTAGTGCCAAAGCTGAAATTTGACCGGACAGCTTGACTTTTAGTGTCTATGATTCATGCTAGCCGCCCCCCCGACTCCATGTGTTTTCTCATCTTAGACAAGCGTGCGATAAATCTGCTCAGAAAGAGAGCACTGATGAATGCGTATTGAAACTCAGCACGTTGAGAAATGGTCCTTTTCTCAGAGTGATAATTTTAAAATGTAAGATGTCTTCCGTCATCGGGGTTTTCTGTTGCTTCCTTTAGTGTGTGCCAAAATGGTGAACACTACAGATAAACTTTTGTGCTCCGAGCAAATTACTGGACGTGTAAACAAACCCAACAAAGAACACAGCCTGGGGTCCGGACCTGGAGGGAAGGCGGCTTGGCGCCACACACAGGCATCTCTGCCTTTCTCAGAGCCTGTGTTCTACCTTGGAGTCGTTGTGGACGCTAAGCTAAGCAAATTGAGTAGCCGCTGTCATTCAAAGTGGTATAGTGGTTTCCGTCGAGGAAGCCCTTGCAAACATTTTCTAGGAGTAATAATGGAAGTGATGAGTGTCATGGATAATGAAATGGAGGAGATGGAAATAAACACATTGCTGTCACAGGGTCACCAGCTGTTACAGATCTTTAAAAACATTTGTACACTTTAGAAATCTAAACATAGATGAATGACTTACATAAAAGTCTTGGGGAAGTGGGCATTTTTTAAGAGACATGGTGGGAAGGAGGGCGAGAGTTTTAAATTGAGTCCAAATTCCATAAAGTGATGAATGCCAAAGTAAGGAATTGTGACTTTAATCCAGGGGTCTGTGAACGATGGCCCACTGCCTGTTTTGTAAATAAAGTTTTATTGGGACACAGACATGCCCATTTGTTCAGGTATTGTCTGTGTGTGTTTTTTTTCACTTGAAGGGTAGAGTTGAGTCATTTCAACAGAGACCCTATGGCCCACAGAGCCCTTTAAACGTATACTCCCTTACAGAAAAATGTGGGTGCACTCTATGATAGGCAGTATTGAAGGTTCCAGACCAGGGGAACGCTGTGATGGAAGCCATGAGAATCTCAATCTGGCAGGAGGGTGCAGGATGGGCTGGAGTGCGGAGAGGTAAACATCATCAGATATAATGCCACCAGAGCTCAAATGAAGGTGGTCTCAATAAATATGGGGAGACAGAGACAAGTTCAAGAGATATGCCAAAGAAAAACAGAACCTGAAACCTGGTTAGATAAAAGTAGAACAGAAATGTGGATTCAAGCCTCCCTTTGAGGTTCAGTGCTCAGGTTACAAGCTGCGTGGTTATGACAACTGGGAGATGAGCAGCCAGCCTTGGGTGAGTGGCTGACTTTAGTTTTACATATACCTGCTCCCTCAAGTGCGTGAATTGCCTGCAGATGGTTGGCGATGTGCAGCCAGAACTCAAGAGGTCACTGGTAAAGGTATGTTGAGTAATCTAGGAAGGTTTGAACATGTTCTATACGTCTAATATAAATTGTGATGAAAAGTGGCCCATGACAGCCCTCCAAAGAGGCAGGCCCTTCCTAATGTCACATGAGTAACTTTCTGGTGGGGTCAGCTGGGAGGAAGCCAGTCAGCTCCAAGGACCACAGGTGTCTTGTGTGACCTTCTCCCCTGCTGTCCCCTCCCTCAGCACAATCTCTTCAGCGCAGTGGACTCCAGGCATGTGGAGCAGACGTGTCCCTGTTCATGGACTACAGACACTACGGGGTTCCAAGCCCGCTCATTGCTCACTTTGGCTTACCACAGATCATCGCCTACCTCGGGCTCTTGTAGACTCTCCAGTTTCACTTGGAATCCCAGCCTCAATTCCCAACCAACTGAGCCACCCAGGCGCCCCCAGCCTCAATTCCCACCGCTTCCGGCTGGTGCCAATATTTCTGTTCCTCCTCTCTTTGCTGGTGCAACAAGTCAAGTTCTTTCTAGCTTGGGCCACGCAGACTTGAGAAGGGACCTGTTTTTCCCACAGCCCCCTGGATTCTGACTCAGCAGTTTGCATGGATTCTCCCCAGAACTTTCCAGAACATTCCTGGGCTCCTGGTGCTCAGGACACTCCACAGTTGCAACTGCTTTGTTTTTTTCATGAACTCTCTCCTTTCTGATGCTTCTTCAAACTTTCCCCGAATCCAGCTCCCCCCAAATGCGCTTTCACTCTCTTCTGTCTCCCCCTCTTGTTTGCCCTGATAGTCCCTAATCACCTCGTATCACCCCTGAACCCCATCTAGTTCTTCCTGCCCCACTCATGGGTTACCTCACTCCTCTTCTCCAGAAAAACTGGTGCAAAAATGTACACAAATAATCTGTAAATGGTAGCACATCTACAATCTATTTAAATGTTGGCTGGTCCCCTGGGCGGAGGGAGTGGGGAGTGACACTAGTAATTGATCAATCAGTATTTCCACTCCTGGGAGGGAGACTGTAATCACATGATTGACTTCAGAAAAGTTGTTTTGTTGTTAAATAAATAAGAGGTGGTCTTGTATTTCTTTAAAATAATTGTCAATCTTTTCCTCCCGATTAGTAAGTGTAAAGTTGATTACTATATATTTTTCCTGTCACTCCTTTGTGACATGCTCTTAGATGGCTTGACAGCTGGCATGCTCTGAGGAGGTGACAGGCACAGCCTCATACCATTTCTTTAGCCAGACATGCAAGCTATTTTACCTCTGACCTTTGTTCACTCACCCTTGCCTTCTTCATCTAGTGGCAAGCCTAGGCTTTCCTGCCCTTGCTTCTGTTCACATCCATCCAAAATGTACTGACAAGTCAATTCTATTGTTAAGAACAAACCAAGTTCACAGAATTGCTATAAAAAATGGAAGAAATGAATTATTTTCGCAACAAGAGGGTCCCAATCTCGTTGACATCAAGCAATCCCACTCTTTCAGGCTTGCGTTTCCAAGCTGCGTCTTAAGAAAAGCCTTTTGTGTCTTAGGCTGACTGTGCTTGCTTAATCTTCCATAGCTTTCAGCGAAAATTAATTTACTAAAGTATGAAAAAATACAAACAAAAATTTAAAATATTACTCCCCTACAGAGGCGCAAATGAAAAATGCATGCAAACTATTTTTATACCTTTCCCCCCCTTTAAAATTGACTTAAAATGTCAGCTCATTCCTTTGGAAAGATCAAGATATGTTCTTTTAAAGACAAAGACTGGAAAGGAATACAGAAAATTTTATTTTATTTTATTTTTAAAGATTTTTATTTATTTATTTATTTGACAGAGGGAAACACAGCGAGAGAGGGAACACAAGCAGGGGGAGTGGGAAAGGGAGAAGCAGGCTTCCTGCAGAGCAGAGCGGGGAGATCCCAGGACCCTGTGATCATGACCTGAGCAGAAGGCAGACGCTTAACGACTGAGTCACCCAGGTGCCCCAGGAATACGGAAAATTTTAAAAAGCTTTCTCTATTAAATTTGAAGTGGTGGGAATGCAGGTGGTTTATTTGGCTTTCGATTATTATTTGGGAATAAAACTAACAGAAGAGGAAAAGTAAGAACTTTGTTGGGACGAGAACATAAAACTTGCCTCTGATGTACTTTTCTTTTTTAATATATGGCTGTATACTAAATACCAAAGTTGTTTCTCCTTCTAAAGGGAGAAGCTCACTAACTTAATGCTACATGTGGACAGCAGTTGGGGACAAATGTAATGGATTTAGTTGCTGGATCTTGATTCATCTGCCCCTGATTAGACTCTAGTAACACAAATTAGTTTCTAAGTCCTTAGACTAAAAGGATTTCCCAGTGGCGGTAATGAGACACACGAAGAGTCGGCACAGGTCACTGTCTCCGTCCACACCGGGAACCACGGGGACAGCGCCCGGACGCTTCGGCGGCCGGCCGCGCCACGGGCCAGCGGGGTCTGCGGCACTCCCTCTCGGGGGGCCTCGCTCCAGGAGCCGCAGGCAGTCACAGGACCGCGCCCCGCGCCAGACCCTGTAGACCCGGCCCACGCGCCCCGCCGCGCACCTCGCAGACCCCGGCCCAGCTCGCTGCCCCGGACCGCCGAGGGTCTGGGCCGCAGGCTCGGGCCCGCTAGAAAGGGAAGAGCCGGGGACCACTCGCGCTCGGGCCTCCCCAAGTCTCGCCGCTCAGGAGCGGGACCACAGAGAGACCTCGGGGGCGGAGCCAGAGGGAGGGGAGGGGTGAAGGGCGGGAGAGGGCGGAGTCAGAGAGGGGCTGGGCAGGGCGAGAGCAAGGCCGGAGTGTGGGGCGGGTCGAAAAGTGGGGCGAGGATTGAGCCGGGGTGAAGGGCGGGGCGAGGGTGGGGGCCGAGGGTGGGGCTACTAGGGCGGAGTCGGAGTGTAAGGCGGGGCTGTGGGCGGGGCTTGCGCTAACGGTCGCGCGGCGCGCTGCGGGCGGAACGCACTGTGGAGAGGCTGTGGAGCGCCGGGCCTGGCGGGCGCGAGGAGCGGCGGCTGAGGTGAAAGCCTGGCCCGGGCGGCGCGTTCTGTGAGGCGCGGGCGCGCGAGGGGGCCTGCGGCGCTGCGCGGTGCGGACCGAGTTGGGGCGCCAGTCACGCGGCTGTCCTTTCCTTTGCTGCCGTTTCGGGGCGCGGCGTCCCGAAGTGGGGTTCGTCCCCGGGACGCGGGGACGCCCGGTTCCGTGAGGGCGGACCACGAAAGGGCGTGGCTGGCGGGGCCCGGTGTGCGGCCGCCGGCTGGGACCGCCCTGGTGCGAGCGGACCGAGGCGGCGTGGCTGCCGGCTCCCGTCAGAGCGGGGACGCCCGGCGGGTCCTCTCCTCGGGAAGCAGCGGAGGGAGGCTGGGCGCGCTGCTGGTGCAGAGCAGCCCGCGCGAGGGAAGACCCACGGGAGGGGGCGGCGGGGGCGGTGTCCGTGCCGAGAGCGCGCTCGGCCGTGTGGCGGAGACGCGCAAGCGGCGCGGCGCCGGGGAACGCAGTCGGCGGACGGCATTGCGGACCCGCGCTCGGCCTCTGTCCGCTCGCTCATTCGGCCGGCTGAGAACTGGAGCCCTGGTTTGCACTGCGGGTCCGGCTGACTGCGCTCCTCGGCAGTGTCAGAGCCAGCCCCGACGAGCGTGCCTGCCTCCCCCGGCTCCAGGGCCCCAGCGCCAGGTCTCCGCCCCCTCGGGGCCCTCCAGCCGGGCCGCGGAAGGCAGGCCCTGGGCCACACTCGAAGCTGCCCTTTATTATGATGATTTTTAATGATTTTATTTTTAGAAATCATCATTCTTTCATCGACAGAGTTTGCTTTAAAAAAAATTTTTTTTTTTAAGTAATCTCTACACCCAGTGTGGAGTTGGAACTCACAACCCGGAGACCGAGAGTCGTGTGTTCTACCCACGGAGCCAGCCAGACGCCCCAGGGGGTTGCCCTTCAAAAGTGGGAGGAGGGCTCCGAGCCCAGGAAGGGGGATTCCAAGATCCGGACCCGAGGTGAGGGGCTGTCCGAGATGGTCATGATGTACCCAGTGTCTGTAGTGTGGCGCCAGCCCAGAGCTGCGACGGTGCCACCACTTGACCTTAAACTGGACTGGGTATCTGCACCATTGCCAAGGGTCTGGAGCAGTGAGGCCTTGAGGCACTACACAGCTGCTCCTACCTCCCACGCTCTGTTTGCCTTGCTCCTCTCTGCGGTTCCTGGGTGAGGCACCAACTCCCAGCCCTACCCCTGTCCTGATTCAGGGCCTGGCACAAATCAGACACTCAACCGACACGTGCTGCATGAATAACCGAAATTGAGTAAATCTACTGGTTTGGTGTAGCTGACCAATGTTATTACATTGAAACCCTTTACAGTGATGATATTGAGGACCAGCCACCATTTGATATTTTAATATCACTCATTTGATATTGAGTGCTTTTTATGCACGAGATAGCATTGAGATACACTCATGAAATCTCTTAAGGCCCCACCTCTGCTCTCATCTAGATATGAGGTTAAAATCACTACCATCCCCACACACAGTGTAACCAGGTTAGAGGTATTTGCAATAGAGTTTTGCTGTATTTTTTTTAGATTTTATTTATTTATTATTTATTATTGACAGGGAGCACAAGCAGGGGGAACAGCAGCCAGAGGGAAAGGAGAAGCGGGCTCCCCACTGAGTAGGGAGCCGGATGCGGGCCCCATCCCAGGACGCCGGGATCATGACCTGAGCCAAAGGCAGACGCTTAACCATCTGAGCTGCCCAGGCACCCCTGGATTTCTTTTCTTTTCTCTCCCCCCTTTTTTTTTTTTTAAAGATTTATTTATTTATTTATTTGACAGAGATAGAGATAGCAAGAGCAGGAACACAAGCAGTGGGAGTGGGAGAGAGAGAAGCAGGCTTCCCCAGGAGGAGGGAGCCCGATGTGGGACTTGATCCCAGGACTCTGGGATCATGACCTGAGCTGAAGGCAGACGCTTAACAACTGAGCCACTCAGGCGCCCCTCTTTTTTCTTTTCAATTTATTCACCCATTTGAGAGAGAGACAGAGTACACATGTGCTCCAGCAGGGGGAGGGAAAGAGAGAACCCCAAGCGGACACCCCCTGAGCACAGACCCCCTCTGCCCCAGGCTCTATGCCACAACACTCAACCAAGCCACCCAGGGGCCCTGAATTTTGCTGTATTTCTAAAAGTAGGCTCTATGCTAATAAATATTTAAATCTGCAAATGTCCCATTGAATCATCTTTCATCTGAAACTAAATTTACAGGGTGCACAAAAATTGCTAAATTAGTGAGGCGCCTGGGTGGCGCGGTCCGTTAAGTGTCCAACTCTTGGTTTCTGGCTCTGGTCATGATCTCAGGGTCATGAGATGGCTCCATGCTGGTGGTGGAGCCTGCTTAAGATTCTACATCTTCCTCTGCCCCTCCCTCCCAATAAATAAATCTTTTAAAAAAACTCATGTTCTCTGGTTTACTGAAACTAACATGCCATCACACATAAGATGCCTCTTACATTCAGAAATACTAAAATGTAAAAAGAATTGCTAAATTATACATTCTTATCAGTTTAAATTATACATTCTTTGGAAAGTGAAAGTTAAAAATTGAAACCTAACTATATCATTCAAAACTGTAAAAGGACATTTTGAAACATGTTTTTTGCAGATTTGATCTGTACTTACATTTCACTGTTATAATAAAAAACTTTTCCCAAAGAGCGAGTAATATATTCAATGCTTTCCTAGATAATTTTTTAAAGATTTTATTTTTTACTTATTTGAGAGAGAGTGCGTGCATGCATGCGCAGGGGGGAGGGGCAGAGGGAGAGGGAGAAAGAGTCACAAGCAGACTCTGCACTCTGCGAGGAACCCCTACAGGGCTTGACCCCACAGCCCTGAGATCATGACCTGAGCCAAAACCAAGAGTCAACCGACTGTGCCACTCAGGCACCTCCCAGATGACTTTTTTTAATCTTGGAATTTTTCATGTGTTATTTCAGTTATTTAATTTTCATCAACTTATATTTTCTAAAATATAGATAAAAGAATGGCAAATTCCTTTGCATCAAAGACCTTCACCGCACTTTCAGATCTGCATCCAAATTTGGCTAATCTGGTAGGTTTTAATGATATAGTGGTTTGGTTGTTCTCTAATGAAACTTTAGGTGGTAATATTATATTATAGCAACATTATTGGTTCATTTGACACATGCTTATATAATTGACAAGTATATAGCTACTCATTCCATCAGTACAATTGTTGATATTATAGATACCCCTAAGCTTCTTTGATTTTATGCCAGCTAAATGAAAATTAGTTTCTCTTTTGTCTAGAGTAGGACATTGTAGATATGGCTAGCAATGTTCAAAATGATCAAAAGTTTAATTGTATTACTTTCATTAAATATTTAATAACAGCTCAAATTTAGCATTGTAAAATTAGAACATTTTTGTTTGGCAATATCTATTCTCTAATCAAACTGTACTTAAGTTATAGACTTAAATACTTGGCACTATGCTCCTTTTATGACATAAAAGAATACAAAAGCTGTATTTGTGAAATATGTGAAAATCCATTTTTTACTGAAGGGTTGTTGGGGAATTCAATCATTTCAAATATGCCAAGACTGTTTTTAGTCAAAACAAAATCTAGGTGGAATCATCTTATGAGGTGAAGAACTGCCCTGAGCAGTCCGTTGTTTACATTTGGCATTTACAAATCAGATTTCTTAAAATGGGATACATTTATATGTAACCGTACTGTGCAGTTAAAGTTTATTAATGTTAAAAATAGGGGGCCCAAGTCCTTCTGAATGGAGGACCAGAAAAAGAAAGAAAGAAAGGTAAGTGATTTGTTAATTTCCTCTTCAGTTAGAAAGCTTTGCCAATATTTCCATTAGTTATATTTTTCCAACACAATTTGGTGAGATCAACATGCATATGGAATTTAAGAAATAACAGCAGTGTGTCTCAATGTAGTAAGATTAGTTAATAGCTCAGCTAGGATGTGGTAGTCTTAACAGCTTGAACATATTTTAAATGTAACAGATTATTGCAAGGTTAAAATCAGTTGCTAGAATTAGTGTAAGTTTAGGTTTATCCTTTCAGGAGAAGGTAGTTATTTTTGTTTCCTTTTTTTTTTTTAAGATTTTATTTATTTACTTGAGAGAGAGAGATACAGCAAGAGAGGGAACACAGGCAGGGGGAGTGGGAGAGGGAGAGGGAGAAGCAGGCTTCCCGCTGAGCAGAGAGCCCAGTGTAGGGCTGGATCCCAGGACCTTGGGATCATGACCTGAGCCGAAGGCAGACACTTAACAACTGAGCCACCCAGGCGCCCTTTATTTTTGTTTCTTAAAGTACTTTTTAAATATTCAGTTTTTATCTGGTAGTCGCCAAAGAGACATTAAAATGCTTAAGGAGATGTTAATATCTTTAAGGTTTAAGATCTAGGACTTTAGAGCTTAGATTTATTAGCAGCAATGTATAAGTTTTGTTACAGTCTAACTTATATTACTGTTTAGGATGTTTGGATTAAGAAGCTAGGCAATTTTATGTGGATTGTTAGAAAATCCTATATTAGGGCGCCTGGGTGGCTCAGTCCGTTAAGCGGCTGCCTTCGGCTCAGGTCATGATCCCAGGGTTCTGGGATCGAGCCCCATGTCAGGCTCCCTGCTTGGTGGGAGCCTGCTTCTCCCTTTCCTCCCTGCTCGCACTTTCTCTCGCTATCTCTGTCACTATCTGTCTCTCTCTCTCAAATAAATAAATAAAATCTTTTAAAAAATCCTATATTAAAGAAAGCTTTGAAGACCGTGGCAAATTAAATTGTGTACACATGTGCTTTGAATGAATTCAGTGAGAACTGATAGCACAGGGCAGCTACTGTGCTCCAACTAGTGACTAAAAATAAAGTAGAAACATGCTAAGTATTAAGTGATTATATTTGTAATAGCAGTTAGCTGTCCTGTTACTTTGTACTATTCCTTGTGGAATTGAACATTTATGAAGTTCTTTAGATGTTTTTCTGGAGTAAATATATTTAAATGGCTCCTAGTCAAAAATGTTTGTTAGAGCCAGTAAAATATAACAAGTCCATGAAATTAAATTTACCATCTACGTCTGTGTTTAATATTTGTCTTCTATAACCCTTTTGTTTTTCAGAAAATAATTGGTATAGTTATTGGGAAAACAGATGTCAAAGGCTTTCCAGACAGAAAAAGCTGAGTTCTATTTAACTTTTTACTTCATTTTTCATCAAGTGTGGCTTTTGACTACAACAAAGTGTATTGAAGTGATTAAATTTCTCATGCCTGTTTAACTCCTTAAGAGCAGTGGCCATTGTATGGTAAAGTACTCAATTTAAGGCCATATGTGTGAGGACATTAAAACCATTTTTAATGACATGTAAGGCTGTGTGGCTCCATGTTAGTGATCACTTTCAGCCTAAGAGATACAAATACACAGGAAAATCTAAGACAGAAAATGTTAAGGAACAGATTTTCGAGCAGAGATGTGTCTTGATAGAGGAGCATGGAGAGAGAGAAGTATGGCAGCAGTATCAACCAGACAATCCAGTGAATAAAATTAATCTTTCACATGTGGAAAATACAGTTAACTCTGGCTGTAGTGGCTCTTATTGAGTTGCTTGAACTGTATAAAAGTTTTAGGACTATGGAAACAATCCAAGACTAAAATTAGATTTTTTATTTTTAAAAAAGATTTTATTTATTTATTTGACAGAGACATAGTGAGAGAGGGAACACAAGCAGGGGGAGTGGGAGAGGGAGAATCAGGCTTCCCACCGAGCAGGGAGCCCGATGCGGGGCTCGATCCCAGGACCCTGGGATCATGACCTGAGCCGAAGGCAGACACTTAACAACTGAGCCACCCAGACACTCCTAAAATTAGATTTTTTAAATCAAGTTTAAAATCAAGTTTTCAAACTTCGGTAGTTGACACTCAATGATAAGATAGCCCTAGATATCTATAATTTATGTATATATGTTAGGTTGTGTTACTTTTTTAATTAGCAAAAAACAGCAGGGCCATTTTATTTTGGGAAAAAAATGTACCTGCTGACCCCTAGTGGCACCATTTACTAGCACACATTTATTTGTTTTGAAATAATTTAGATCGGGGCGCCTGGGTGGCTCAGTCGTTAAGCGTCTGCCTTTGACTCAGGTCATGATCCCAGGGTCCTGGGATCGAGCCCCGCATCGAGCCCCGCATCGAGCCCCGCATCGGGCTCCCTGCTCCACAGGAAGCCTGCTTCTCCCTCTCCCACTCCCTCTGCTTGTATTCCCTCTCTCGTTGTGTCTCTCTCTGTCAAATAAATAAATAAAATCTTAAAAAAAAAAAAAGATATAAAATGCCAAAACTAGCACGGTTTATGTCAGCACTGCTTATGAAAGGTTACAGTATAAACACTTCTGTGTGGCTTAAGGGTGTCAGCTCTAGTCAGCCAGGCAGTGATTTTGGCAGAAGAAGACATTAATTTTGTTTGAATCACCTAAATAACTATGGCTGTTTTTTGGCTCATGGTGTAGTGACGGTTCCTTTATTTTAATTTCATGTAATATTCTATTATCATGTTTGATGTAAATATTTGCTTATGTCTTCACTTCATCATGATTAATTAGATCAGAATTACCATTTGAATAGTTTGAGAAAGTCTATGTATCTGTTTTCTAAGCTCTAAAAGGAATAACTTAAAACACATGAATTAGGAAAATGTCAGTATTTAAAGTATTTGCTGAAATCACAACAATGAAATACAATTTTCACCTCACAGACTATGCAGGTAGTGATTCCCGTAGTGTTGGAGTACTTTATGATTATATGTACAGAACTCCTTTTTTGGAGAAGACATGTTTACTGACTTAAAAAAAAAAACATTACACACATGTTACATATCTATTTTCACAAAACATTCAAGCACTACAGAAGGTCATGGAATAGAAAAATGAAATTCTTAATTCAACCCCCAGCTCTTTCCAGCCTAGTCTCCTCCCCAAAGGTAAATGCTAATAACAGTTTAGTAGATATCTATAATTTTTTTTTTT